GGGGGGGGGGGGGGGGGGGGGGGGGGGGGGGGGGGGGGGGGCAGCAGGAGGACGATGAGAAGGCGTTCGTGTCTCGATGCATTTTTTTCCTCGAACAACCATGTATTACCTGTTGCCGGACCGCGTTGCCTGCTGGCATCTTCACTGCCTTAAGGCCACCACCTTGTAATTGACCATGGGTGGCGTGTGTGTCTACTGACTTTTGGTAGTGATGAGCAGGACATGTTTTGTTACGTTCTCTTCAAGCAACATGTTTCCGGGAATGTCTCAATCGTACCGAGTCTCCGCCTCCGATGATGGTGATCGCCCCCTTCGAGGTGAGGTCGGCTAGGCAGCTGGCCACGGCGAACGTTCCCGCGGCAAACTTGTCGAACTCGAACACCCCCATTGGTCCGTTCCACACCTAAAGGTACCGCCACCGTCGCGGAAGCAAGGGAGGAAGGGTCAGGGCTTCGATGGAAGAGGAGGAAGGACACATGTAGCACCAACGGGTGGCGATGTGCGGGTGGATGGTCCAAGAGGCGGGGACGGTGGGGCGGGGGGGGGCTTTGATTGAGCATATTTGACCTCTCTCGAGCCCCACACATGGGATATGCTACATGTATGCAAAAGTCGCCCTCTCAACCACCAAGTTGGCGTTCGCACAGCCAAGGAGAAATCAACTGCACGCTAAACAGAAAGTTGGAGATGTCCCTGATCCAATCAACCAAGGCAGTCACTCACAATGGTTTTGCATGGAGCCAAGGCATCCTCGAAGGCGGAGATCGTCTTCGGCCCTACGTCAAGCCCCATCCATTCCTCCGGGATGCTGTCGACCGTAACGGTGTCCGATTCGGCCGTTGGAGAGAACTGGATAGAAGCCAGATTGAGAAAGGCAGCGTTTCGTTGTTTGGGCAAGTCGCGACAACAGACAACGAGCGGAAGGGGGGCCGGAGTTAGGGAATATATTGGAACACAAACGTGCCATCCATATTTATTTGTAGTTGATCAGCACAGGTGAAGACGCGAAGCTTCAAATTACTTATTAGACTAAATACGTTGCAGTCTAGCAGCCAACTCAGAACAGACGGGTTTCGTCACATAGTATCGCCAATCGCTTTGAGGTTAGCCATTAATCTTTCTGTGTGAGGTGCTTCTTGCGTCTTGCTCGTCTCTCTTTCTCCCACTCAATGAACGTCTCTATCTATCTAGCTCCATCTCTGCGTGAGAGGTATCAGTGTTTGTTCCGCTTTCTCACCTTGTCGGCAACGACGACGTCCTCCGGAAGGAGCATCTTGACACCCTTCGCCTCTGCTTTGCTCATGAGGTCTCTAGCGAGATCAACGTAGTCGTCCTCCACCTAGAAATGGCACACATACGCACATATTGCCATTGATCGACCACGAGCAGGCCACCAATAAATGGGGGGATGAGAAGCGAGAAGGCGGGATGAGGGAAGCGAACCAAGGGGCATCCTTCCCAACAGCTCACCCCATGCCATCGATTTGCGGACGTAGTCACAACATATGAAAACCACGAGTATGAGTATAGGCGGAACTGCGTCACACGAGTCGGAAACAGACTTTTGTATGCACATGATTAAACACAACGCCGTTGTCTTACCAAGGACTTGCCGACTCCGAGTCCCTTGGCCTTGTAGAAGGTGAAAATCATGCCACCCCCGAGCAGGATGACGTCGCATTTTTCGATTAGAGCTTCGATCACCGTAATCTAATTAAAAGAAGGACGAAAAATGTCATTACGGGAAACGAATGAGGAAATATAGTTGGTAGGTGCGGTGTGTACGCGATATACGCGCGACCAAATGGCATGGAACGACAATACTGTCGGGCTACAGCCCGCAAATGCCCGCGATTGACTTGGGAGTGCGTTGCCAAGGAAACACGTACTGATTCGTTCGTTGCGCGTGAAGGAATAGTGAAAAATATATATTTCTGGAAAGTACCTTAGAAGACACCTTGGCACCCCCCACAATACACGCCATCGGCCGAACAGGGCTGTCCACTGCTCCCTTGAGGTACTTGAGCTCCTTCTCCATCAACATGCCGGACACCTGAGCGATACCGAGAACAAACGAGCGCCAGCCGTTTGCAGTCGTTCAGGGGTAGGGCGAGACAAGCAAGTGCGCGTCACGTCAAGGCGTGAGACGGCGGATGGTGAGCGCGGGTACTAAATAATAGCGTGCGGCGATGGCTAATCTACAAGCTGAACGATGGACCGTTGTCGGCATTGGAAAAAGGACGAGTCCAGTCAATTGGTTCAACCGGAGGTGAAGGCAATGCATTGGGTTTACACACGGACAGGTGCGCTCACAGGGACACTACGCTACGCACGTCGGCAAAAATCACGGAGGTGCGCGCTGCACGGGGAAATCGCTCCCCGAGACTAGTGCTTGTGGAGAATACATACAGATTCGTTGTTGTTTCACCGTCTGTGTTGTGTATTGCAGAAAAGCACCGCTGGCTCCGGCAGCAAATCGCTCGCGTGCCCATTGACGGCTAGCCCTACCTATTGTCTCCATGTCGGAACGAAAAAACACACCTACCGGGGGGATTCGAAACAATGAACAGAACAAGCTCTAGGGACGAGGTTCCATCCTACCACGTGAGATGGTTTGTTGTAGACCCGGGGCATTCAACTTGGGGGGCTCGTTTGGCCCTAATTTTTGCATCACGCACGCACAACAACTCTCCTACAGGACGATCAAGATCAATCGGACGCTCTCAGGGTACGCGCCTTTTATCGAATATATATATTCTCAACCGAACGTGATAAACACTGAGTCACTACCACACCGGGTACTTGATGGGATCGAATTCCATGTTCACCTTGCGGTCGACGAACTTGGTGATGCCTTCTGTGGACGCGTGGGCGCGGTGCGCCGTTCCGAAGGCGTCGTTAACGTAGTAGTCGCACAGCGCCGCCAGCTGCTTGCTGAACTCCTCGTCGTTGCTCTGCCGTGTCGATGGGAGGCGGTTTAAAACCCGGCATTGCGTCAAATGCGTGGCCAATCAAGGCTCGTTTGTTCCGGCTACGTGTTTTCATTACAATTCGCTGAATAGGTTTTTCCATATGCCTGTGAATACCGCTCAAGCCTCTGCAGTCAATGATGATACACCGAGAACGTCGCATTTGCAGCAACAGTCCTGGTGAACACGTAGCAGTGCCATGTCGAACCATCAATCTGACAAATCACTTCCTCACCGCAGGTATAAGGGGAAAGAAAATATGGTGAATGCTCACAGACAACGGTTAGTTTTGAAATCGAAACACCCTTCATGAGGAAGGCACGCCCGGATCGTGTGCAAGGGACTTTGTCTGAGGCAGCAGTGTCGTTTAAGGTAGCGTGAGCACTCTCAACAGCAGTCCTGTAGCAATGAAGATCTTCTCTGCATGGTACTTTGAACTGGGGAAGTCGCCTTTGCATTGATTCAGAGAAAATGATGGTACAGTTACACTAATAGCTGAAGCTCGTGTACTCGCTCACTTCCTCGCCGGAGTGAAATCGGACGTTTTCCAACAGCATGATCTCGCCATTCCCCATCGACGAAATGCGCTCCTCCACCGTGGTTCCGATACAGTCATCCATCTTGATCACCTGAACATAAACAAAGCAGATGTGGAAGAAACGGGGCGAAACATAGAGGCGGCGTCTTGGTCTTCGAACGAACAAAGACAGGAGAGTAGACGACGAAAAATATCGTGTCACCCCACTGTTAGGTTGAAGACAAACGGTGCGAATAAAAAAGGTTATCAACGGTCCTGCGTCAGCTTTGTCGATGACTCTCTACACACTCAAACTCGCCTCCTTGCCGAGCAGCTCAGAAAGTTTGGCGGCCACCGGGTCCATGCGGAGCGAATCCACCACCTGCTTCTTGGGCCGACCGAGATGACTGGCGAGAATGACCTTGGCCCCCTTGTCGGCCAAGAAGGTGATGGTCGGGCATGCGGCGCTCAGCCGCGTAGCGTCGGTCACAGCAGGCGGCGAGTCCTTCGACAGCGGGGCGTTGAGGTCCACCTGTGCCACCGAAATTCAGCAATACAGTTTTGGTAGTGCAGTACGATGTACATAGCAAACCAGCGGGTTCTGTACTTGCACATGCGTTTGAAAAGGGGTGCCTTGGAAGCGTACTGGACGTTGCGGGGTAGGTTCGGTTTTTTCGGGTAGCACGTGAAAGGTCCGTAGTATAACAACAGCAGTACTACGAGATCGGCTTAGAGCGCTCTGATCCCCTTACACCGATGCTTCTCTAGACCAGAAGTGAATAAATGCCCCTGTTTAGGAAGTCGGCAACGGCATCTGCGGTCGATGTGCTTGCTTCGGACAACAAAACGGAGAGCGACCACGGGGCGAATTCTCCGAATTTTCGAATTTTCAAGGCATGTATGCATTGTTGTTGTTGTTGTTGTTGTTGTCTTCACATTAAAAACCGTTCCGATCTCTCTCTACCCAGTACCGTCGTATGTCCGTACTGATCCAACACTTGACGCGGTCGATTCCCGTGGTCACAGGTTAACTTACCCTAAAAAGGTACACTCAAATAAACTGGCCCCGAGGGGTCCGCAAGTCAATAGAAATCAACGACAGATGTTCTGGAATCCTCCACTCCCTCTGCGCTCTATGCGAGGTATCAACTGAGACTAGGAGTCACTATCATGGGCCGGAGAGAAAGAGGTACACCCCCTTGGTTCAATCTTGGTACTTCACAACGCAAACAGAGACAAGGCCATCTGGCACAGAAAAAGAGAAAAAGAGAAAAAAGAGAAAAAATAAAATACAAAGGAAGCAGTAAGAAAAAGAGAAAATAAAATGAAAATAAAATGAAAATAAAATGAAAAAGAGCGAGGACAAAAATGCATACATGAGCTTGTACACAACTGCCCGCAGGACCACATAAACAACGCAGTTTCAGCTACTGAAGGAGACGCTGATCCGTAGTTCTACAGTAGATAGTACGGCATGGGCAGCGCAGCTAAAATAGTCCATTCCCTTCCATCACACCTCGCCTTGATCATCTCAATTATCATGATGATATCGCTTCTGTCCTTATGGCGAAATCTTCCGTTGAGAACAGGAGAACTTTCTCGTAAACCAATCTCGGCACAACTGCTGTGTTTGTACACACAAGGGGGTCTGCTCTAAACTAACACTCCCACCAAAAGCTTATAACACATGCGTAGATACCCGCATTATGGCCAGCAAGCAAGACTACACTCGAGTTGTCTGGCGAGAAAGTCAACGGCCCTCGTTGGGAGAGGTACGTGATCATCGACACGTTGACACGTGGGGGAAGAAGAAGCGAAAAAAAAAATTCGGACATGCGCGGTACATCCGACAAACAGCGGTCCTCTCTACTCCTTCTCCTCGCTCTCTTCTGCCCGACACAAGTCTCTGCTTCGGACAGGCGCTAAGCGTAGATACTCAGCGGTAGGACGGCAAGCGTGCAGGCCTCACCCGCACGAAGACTCGTTTGCCGGTCAAGTCGGTCGAGTCAGCCAAGTCGCGAACATCCGCCTTGGCGTTGGTAGGATCAGACATGGCGCGCGCAGGTTTTCGGTTCTTGTCCTTGACCTGACCCGTGGAATGGCGGTAGCAGGTAGGCAGATCAGTTGGAGGCAGACAGACAAGAGGGGAAACGTTGACGTCAAGTGTCTTCGGCAGCGAGGATCTGACACCCTGCCGTACAACGGCAACTTGAGTTCCGGCACAAGAAGGGCAAGTTGCAGTAGCTCGCAGTAAAGAGACACCAACAGCAGCGCTGCAGGATTGTAACACCCAACACAGCTCCCCGTGCCCGCTTCCCTATAGAGGTCCACACGTTCGCTGTGATAGCTAACCTTTTATCCGGAGAAAGGGTGGGGGGGTGGAGAAAGTATGCCACAGAGGTGTAGAGGTGTGATGTGTGAAGTGAGAAGTGAAAAGTAGCAGGCGAGAGGGCGCGCAGAGAGAATCAAACACTTCAACCGATACAAATCCCACCGCTTCACGCACGAGTACGCGCAGTGACGCAGTGAACGAAAAAAAAAAAAAAAGCTTCAGCGGGGTTCGGGGTTGTGGAACCTCTGATTCTATTCCGCGATGCCCCTTTTGGCCCATCGCACACGTGTGTGACGCATCCATCGACGTGCTAGACACGCATGAGGAGAGCACGAAGGACGCACTGAACCCACACACTGCTGTGTACTACGTACAGCTGTTGTTCCGCTGTGGCGCGCCAGAGTTAAAACCCTCGCCCTACGCGCCTCGAGAGTGGAGACAACACACGAACAAAATATGCGCCTGGCGTCACCAGACGCCGCTCGGAGAGGCGTCGCCCCGTCGGTGCTTTCCTCCGTGCTCGGCTCCTGCTATCTGCTGCTGACCCTTGTCGACCGATCGACAGCCTTCGTTGCGAATGGTTGCGTCCGTACTGCTCAACCGGGAGCCCTGGTGAGGCCCTGCAGCGGGAGCGGCGGTGCCGCCTCGCCCTTGCGCAGCAGCACGAACGCTGCGGCGTCTGTGGTGCCCAGGGAGCAGCAGCGAAGGAGAGCAACGCAGCTGGCTATGGCGTTAGACACCACCAATAACCCCATAACTTCGAAGGTCTATGGGAGGGCAGATACAAAGGGGGGCTCCAAGACGCCGGATATGAACGAGGAGATTGCGGCGAGCGGGGTGAGCAACATACATGGACCAGGTTTTGTCATGTTCGTGCATCATCATTGAACTCAGCACACATGATGAAGTACGAATAAGCAGTACTGCTGTAGTTCGCAGCGCGCCCCCTGTTCTGAACAACATCTCGGCGAGAAGCGTATGAACTCAACGACGATCTACCCGTGGGTGTGCGGGACTTGTTGTGTGTGATCGTGCTTCTCATGAGGTGCGCATTCAGTCGGAGGCAGTTTACGATGTCGCTATTCCGGCCCCGGCCACACCGCCCCTACAATGACCCCCTGTCTTGCGTACGATGGCGACTGACTGCTGATGTGGGACCTCAAGTTTGAGTTTGGTTTCCCACTTGTGGATGTTCATTCTGTTGGGTTTTCTCAACACCCTGCAGTCGTACTGCTGTATTGAGTTTTGCTGAATGTGAAGGGTGGATGGGGTGTGGAAGTACCTACCAGAGATTTAACGATTGCAGGAGCAGCGGACCATTGGACGCAAGTGCTCAAGCCAACATCGTTAACAATACCGACTCTGGATGTACCGGTCCCGGAATTCTCGAGTGGGAAAACACCTCATGGGTGAAGTCATTCACGTCACCCATGATGTAGTTTCACCCTCATTTTATCGCTCGAGGCTGACAGAGCATGTCGGGCCGCGCCTGTCTCACCTTTCGTGTGTGACGCCACCTCCAGCAACGTGTCTCGAAAACGTACCAACCCCCCCCCCCCGCGCGCGCCTACGCGCGTCTCGCCGTTTCGGTCTGGCCTTCCTCCGCTGATTGGTGCGATAAACCCCCCCTCGCACCCGGACAACGTAACAATCTACGGGCGTGGTATAGATAGAGGAGGTGCGATGCGTTATTTCGGTGAAGGGCATGGATGAGCAGCTGGGGATCATGTCGACGCAGCAGGCGCTGCAAAGGGCGAGCGACGAGGGTCTGGACCTGGTGATGATCACCAAGGACGCCCAACCGCCGGTGGTAAAAATCATCGACTACGGGAAGTTCAAGTGAGTGTTGCTTGCGGCGATGGTGCCAGGTGGCATGTGTTGGCGACGATGTGGGCGGCTGTGTGGTGGTGGGTCGGTAAAATATTGTTTTGGGCCTTTTCTAAGCATGGCCGTGTGGCAAGGGCCGTCGTTGTGTGGACGATCGCACCGTCCCTCCGGGAGGGCGAATCTGATGGCTTGCCAGAATCTCCCTTGCTGAACGAGAGTATGGAGCAGTCATCCTCCTGTGTATCTGCAGAGAGTGCTTGGGGTGCCAATGGAATGCAAAGGGTATCAACGTGCAGCAGTGGTATGCATCAAAGGCGAGGGAGGTTCGCCGTGAAGACACCAGGCCCTGCCTGACGATCTCGCTGCTAGTCTCCTGGTCTCCACGTGCCTTAAGCGTTGACGCGGACGATTTGCTCGGCGCCCCGGCGGGCTGGGCTTGTCTCTTGAAAAACGGCTGATATTTTCACAGGTACAAGCGGGACAGGCGGAAAAAGGACAACAAGGCCAAGCACAAGGCCACGGAGATGAAGGAGGTGAAGATGTCGTACAAGATCGAGACGCACGACTACATGGTCAGGCTCAGGAACGCCCAGAAGTTCGTGAAGCAGGGACACAGGGTGAGGGAGAAACCGAGGAGGGCGAGAAGAAATGATGTTTGATTGTTTCGTCAGCGGTGGGGGGGGGGGGAGGGGTGCTTCTTGTTCGTTTGTGGATGGGCCGCTTGCATTTGCGTGGCCGGTAGGGTGCGCGTCACACGTCGGGGTGATACTTCATCGAGCTTTCGGCTTCTGACGGGATATGGGCGCAACGCGGCTCCGGGCAGTGCAAAGTTGCAGACCTCAACTGGAGCTCAAGATACGTTGCCAGCATGGTTGTGGGGACCATAAAACTTTGAAATCATGGCATGTAACTGGTGGGTTTTTCAAGTGGCAACAAGACACACGCAGGCATGTTTCTGAATTGTTTTCGTGAAACATTGTAAAGGCCAAGAACGCAGGCATCCATATGATGCTTTTGTCGCTACGTTTCTCTCTGTCATGACTTGTGGCAATGGCGCGGTGCGACTGCTGTGCAAGATTCTGAGGGTTTTATTGTTTTGGGTTGTGACACCGGTCTTTCGACGCGCGTGCGTAATGTCGTGTCCCCCCCCCCTCCCCAGCACATTTCGCCTCTGTACTACTTCGCTGTACATGCTTTCGGCAAGCCCTGTCTCCTCGTTTCGTAGCGCCCGCCCTCTTGCTCGCTCACTCGGGCTGGCTCTCTCGCGTTCTCCGTTTGGCCCATGCTGCCTTTCAACACCACACCCACCCCTCCACTAACTCACCCCTCACGCCCGCTTGCGTTTATGGGCTTGTTCTCTGGGAAACTCTGTGCGGGTGTTCACCGGTGTTCCCGCCGTCCAGGTGCGCATTGTGGTGACCTTCCGCGGGCGAGAGCAGTCTCACATGGACTTGGGGAACGTGCTCTTGGATAAGGTCACCAACGACCTCGAGGTAAGAGACTCGCGGTGTTGTTTTTTACTAGTAAATGCAAGTTGTTGATTGCTTTCGTCTGGAGACTTGGCGAGATTCAGCCGCCTTGTTGTTGATTAAAAACGACGCCGCACGGTGTTTAAGCGTGATCGGCAGCAACGGAGACCTTTTGAGGGTCGTCGGTGCTCGTTGTATCTACGCACAGCGCAGCAGAGGCTACGCAGCGATGCGGCACTCGCCATAAGTTCGAGTGCGTTTGGCTGGCAGAGGACTGTGTTTTTCGAGAGGGCAGGGTGATTCGATTTTGGCCATAAAACATTTCGAGTGTGCACGCAGTTGTACTCCGTGCGCCTTCGCACGGTATGAGTGTGGCAGCCGAGACGTCGGTTGTTGTTGGATTTCCTCTCGGCGGCGGCAGAATCATAGCCCCCTTCGTCTGTGGAAGGGTATGTCGCAGGTACAATTAGAGCACTAAAAAAACGCGCGCCCCCGCTTTCCCTCCACCCGTCCCGAAACCCTAATATAACGGCTATCGCTTGTTTATGCCGGTTGCCATTCCTGCCGAGAGCAGGGTCTTGCGTTAGTCGAGCCCAAGCGGCGCGAAGGCAACCGCCTGAGTATGATCGTTTTCCCCAAGCCCACTACATGAGCGTGAGGGAACAACCAACGTGAGCACGACGGAGAGGAGAGGAAGAGGTGTCGCGAGGGGGGGGGAGGGGGGGGCAATGGGGGGCGGAGGATGGCGTGCAGGGAGGGTGGGCGGGAAGCGAGAGGGCGACGGTCAACGAGCGATTGGAAACTTGGAGAGAAAAGCAAGAACCCGGTTTTGGAGAATCCGCAAGCAAATCGAGCTCCCTGCTTGGGAGGCGTCTCTCTCTGTGCTGGCCGGCGCCCTCTCTGTGACGTACAGGGTCGTGTGAGAAGTAAGAGGAGGGGAGATGGGTTACAAGCAGGGCTTTCTCTGGCGATCCCAGCTGCGAGGTCAACATTCGGCAGACAGAACAGACCATCTGGTGGCCTAGTGAATGGCCTCCTCTCATAGTGGGTCCCTCGGGACCACGAGGTCTGTTGGTTTGACACGCACGGAGTCTGTTTTCGTTCTTGAAGGGGTCGGATCCGAAAGACCGTCCCTCGCCGTTCGTTACGAGAGCGGGTGTCAAGCAATGCGGGTGGGGAGGGGCAGGGTTGAAGGGGAGACACGCGGGAACATGTGATTTGGTTGCGTGAAGAGTCGTGTTCGATTTCCTCATGGCCAGGAGGAGCAGAGGAGGGCTATTATAGTGCTACTGATCCCGATTGGTTTTGGTTTTGTGAGTTGCCTCAGCAGGGAGGAGGACGGCGCCCTGGCCGTCTGTCTCCTGCGCCGTTAGGCTGGTGGCCTCCCCTTGGCAAGAGGGCCCGGCCTTGTCTGTCCTGTATCACCCATTCGTGACGTGTGTACCCTCTCACGGACAATTTGGAGCACGCTGGTTTGGCCGAGGAAGAGTACAAAAATTCCGTTCATGTATGTTGCGTTCGTTGTTCTGTCGTGTCAAGTTCGGGTGCCTGGGATGGGTGATCATTACACAAGCAGGCGGAGGATTCGGAGTCGCCGGTCTCTGGTAAAGAGACAAGTAGACAATTTTAGGGCAGTGCTGTAGGCACGTACACGCGAACATGAATTCCCTATTTTTTGGCCTGTGTTTTTGTTTATCCCCCCGTTTTTGGCGTGCCTGGGTGGGTCAAGAAGCCAAAAGTGGGTGTTCTGGGCAGGTAGAGTCACTGCTGTTATTCATGTGTATTGCATCAAGTACAGTACGAAAGAGTGATATGGTGACGGGCGTTCAGGAGTGAACGTCCATCTGCAGGGTTTAAGGGCGCGTGGGAGTCGTGCTGGTCTCCTGTTGAGCGGCCCAGGAAACCACGCGTCATAAAAGCGGTTTTCCAAACTCTTTTCTTGAGCTTCGTTCAGCACAAAAAAAATCGGTCGCAATCGAAAATGCCATCACGAGCGTCCGCACTCTTGCGACGTACAGTAGAGGTCCCCGTTTTGTGCCGGTACGCTTTATGTGCCCAGAAAATTCACCCGCATTCTTCCAGACACCGGACAGAACTATTCAAAGTAGGAGGAATGACTTGGTGGAGTTCTGTTTGTGCCCGCCGAAAACACCGGCATTACTGTACCGGGCACCGGCACTAAAACAGAGCCCTTCACTGCTGTACTACAGATTTGCGGGCCGCGGTTTTCGAAACGAGCCTGTTTTCATCGAGCTCGGTGAGGTACAGGCAGCAATACCTGATGCCTACTGATGTGACGGTCCGATTATCGAACGCTTCCAAGCACAGCGACCGCAAAACAGAGCCTTACGTGAATGGCCGTGGCATTCAGCGCAGCTCTTTCTCACACATCACACTCGTCGCCGTGGTCGATGTAAAGGCCCGCGGTGATCCACATGTAGGTCTAGCGTTAGTCGACTTGGCTTGTGTGTGCCGTGTACGTCCTCGCTGATACGGACCGTCCAACATATAGGCAGAACAGTTCGATTCTTCGACCAAACACAGACGGCCGCCAACGCGCTCTCACTTGCAAGTCGCGTATGTTCATTCTTCAAGCCCGGGGAATCTTGTAACCACTCAGATCGAGGTATGCTTTGCACACGTCCACACCTAGACCTCCTTCTGCTTGCGCCGCTCCTTACCCTGCTGCTCTTTCCCAAAATCCCAAAAGACAAGCAAGCAAAAATAGACCGAAGCAAACTCGGTCGGCCCACCAAGACTATTAGGTCCTCTTGTACCGCTTCTTCTTGTGCCTCTTGGCCATGTCGGGGATTCTCGCTTTCGGGATAACTCCACGAGGGTCCCGGTTGTTGGTGATCTTGATCCCCGTGAGAACGTACCCGCCGCAGCTCGACATGTTGTTGAGAGGGTGCGTTCGCCCTGGCAGGACCTGTGTGCTCGGCACCAGCGGTGGCCGCAGCAAAGGGTGCAAGGCAGACGAATTGGAGAAAACAAGAAGAAGCGTCACAGTTGTGCCGGTATTGCGTGCGACAGAACGACAGCACACCAGTACCTGGCTGGAAGACGCAACGACTTGCGAGACTTGCGTTCATCACTCAAGCTGGAACCATGTACGAAGTAGCACGCAAGCAAGTGCCAGCAACATGTCAACAAAGCTATAAACAACAACCAACGAGGCTCCGCCCACAAGGGCTTGTCGGTGGACGATAGTTGTCCGCAAGCGCGGTGCTGCTGCAGGATTCTCGGCAGTAGTGTTTACGGAGGAAACTGACTGACTTGACACACGAGACGAGGGGCGTGAAACCTGGACTCTGATGGCTGGCGCCGTAATTCGTTCTCATCGTCAAAAGACGGAGGCGATCGAACGAAAAAAGAGCACGAAGGGGGAAAGATGACGAGCACGTTGCTGCAGCACGCATTTCGGTCTTATCCGGGAAACACACACACACACACACACGAACAACTCCACTTGCTGTGACAAGACATACTTCGGCCACCAATCAACACCCAGGGGGGGGGGAGTGCACGTGCCAACAGCCCACAAGAGAGGCAAGCACAAGAGAGACCAACGGCTGGAAGTTAAGAGCGCGGGGTTGGGGGGGGGGGCGGAAAAAGAACCAGGGGGCACAAACCCGCACAAAACAAAAAAAAAAAACACTGAACCCCAACCAAACCGGGAACTCCCTTAACCAGGTGTCCCACAAC